CTGGTTGCTTCTGAGTATTCCTATGATTTTTTTGAATTCTATTTCTGGCATTTCATCAATCTCTTCATCTTCACATTTTAGTATTGTAGTGTTCCTTGAAGACATCATGTTGACTTCTTTACTTTTGCTTATTTATTCGCTGCATTTTTTGTTTTAGTTTGTGGAGATACTTGTTTGTTTTTTTATTTCCTGTGATGGCTATTATCTTTGGACTATCCCTCTGTGGCTTAGTGGAGTATCTGCTCTTTCAGTCAATACCCAGAAGTGTGTGCTGGATGTGGTCAGGAAGCTCTGGTTAGTGCTCCAGGGTGAAGTGAGTATCCAGAGTATCACCCAAGTTTGGAGTGTTAGCTCTCCTCTTTTTTTTTTTTTGACAGGCAGAGTGGACAGTGAGAGAGAGAGAGACAGAGAGAAAGGTCCTCCTTTGCCGTTGGTTCACCCTCCAATGGCCGCCACGGCTGGTGTACCGCGCTGATCCAATGGCAGGAGCCAGGTGCTTCTCCTGGTCTCCCATGGGGTGTAGGGCCCAAGTACTTGGGCCATCCTCCACTGCACTCCCTGGCCACAGCAGAGAGCTGGCCTTGGAAGAGGGGCAACCGGGACAGAATCCAGTGCCCCGACCAGGACTAGAACCCGGTGTGCCAGCGCCGCAAGGTGGAGGATTAGCCTAGTGAGCTGCGGCTCTGGCTGTTAGCTCTCCTCTTATTTACAGAAGTGGGGGAATAGTCACATCTGCTGGTGTGATCATTCCCTCTTACAAGCTGAGCAATGCCTGAGTGTTAGTCCCCAGTGTGTTCAACACTCATCCACATGAATGATCTGTGCAACTCTCCCTGTGTGCCCAGTTGCAGTGAGCTGTCCCAGCAACTGAGGATTCTGAGAGAGTGGCTCTGCACCCAGAGCTTGCCCAGAACCCCAGCTACACCCTGCCCCCTCTCACACAATTAAAGTGTTTTTGCAGTCTCAGAACCGAGGGCTCCCATAGACAAGGAATGCAAGGGAGTCCACTCTGCCCCACTAGGCTGTCCTCTCCACAGAGAAGCTGAGGGTTCCCAGAGACCCTGCCTGTATATGTTTCACCCCAGGAGGATCCAGTCTGATACCCCCAGCCAAACTCAAAGTCCATGGGGAACTTGGATTTTTCCCCTGGTAGAATCCCTGAGTCACAAGCAAGCACAACACCCACAAGCTTCCAGCTGTCCACAGTCCCGTTGCTTTCAGAATTGTGCTGGGTGGGTACAAGAGTACCCACAGAGGCACTTCCCTTTGGTGGGGTTGGCTTCCCTTTGGTGGGGATGGCCCCCTGTGGGGTGGGCTCAATGGATCTGGTGTTGCTGCCCTGATGACAAGGTGGGGCAGACCTCCCTTAGTTGATTCGATCTGCTGTGGTTGCCCCTACCAATAGGCCCCACTAGTTGCTGGGGCACACAGAGAAGGTAGAGCCACTGTTTCTGCTTTCTGAAATGGCACCAGCCTTCTCCCAGCTATTTAGTTACAGGGCAGTGGTGTGGTGGTTGAAGAAGTGGAGAAAGAGGCATGCTGATTCTTTCCCCCATTCTGGGTAAGCAGTCAACCAGCTGCCCTGGTTCAGGACTGGACTCAAGCACAGTTCAGTCTACTAAGTTCTCCCTCTAACTGTATCAACAGTGGCATGGGTTGGTGCAGTCTGAACTCACCTTGCAATCCTGGGTGGGCTGCAGGTTCTTTTGTTGTGTTCCTGTTCCCTTCCCGATACTCTGAGCCTCTAGGCTGCCACCACTGCTTTTGCAAGATCTCCCATTGCAGTTTTCTCTGTAACTTTTCCCTGAGAATGTAACTTCTCCACTTTTTTTTCCCTGCTAAGTTGGAGCCTAGAAAAGACCTCCCTGTCACTATTCCACCATCTTACCCCCATCTCCCCCTCCCCCAGCCTTGGAGAAAATATTTTTGTGGTCTCCTTTGAGCAAGGAATTGTTTCCATTCACAATGGGAACAAATACACAAGTTACAATGTGAAGTATTTAACTGTTCAACCTTGTCTTCAGGCTTTTGTAGCAGTCATTTTTTGGATGAGTTAGGGAAAGCACAGAAAATGTGCTTAGACCCATGACTGTATGCAGCTGTGAAATGCACTGTGGTGTCTTTAAGAATTTTTGGGGGGCTGGTTCTGTGGCTCACTTGGTTAATCCTCCGCCTATGGTGCCAGATCCCATATGGGCACTGGGTTCTAGTCTCGATTGCTCCTCTTCCAGTCCAGCTCTCTGCTGTGGCCTGGGAGGGCAGTGGAGGATGACCCAAGTGCTTGGGCCCTTGCACCCGCATAGAAGACCAGGAAGAAGCACCTGGTTCCTGGCTTCGGATTGGCGCTGTGCTGGCCGCGGCAGCCATTTGGGGAGTGAGCCAATGGAGGGAATACCTTTCTCTCTATCTTTCTCTGTCTCACTGTCTATAATTCTACCTGTCAAATGAATTAAAAAAAAAGAATTTTCTGGTGATTCTTTGTATTTTAGTAAGCATTTTCTGAAAAGACCCATTATTTCATCCAATTCAGGATCATCATCAAGAGACTTTTCATCATCCTAATCATAAAAAGTGTGCTATAAACTCTGTCTTTTAGTTGCTAGGAAAAATAATAATACAATATATTGTGGTCATGAAAATCAAAGACACTAGAATCAAACGGCCTTGATTAAAAATCAAGTTATGCCATTTGCTGGCTGTATGACCTTCATTAAATTATTAATTCTTCTGGGCCTTTGTGTATGGGGAACAAAATATTAAAATTTTCATATTATTTCTGGATCAAATGGTCCAAGAGCTATGTATTTATCTTGTGTTGTTGTTATCTCAAACCCATTTTGGGGGTAGAAACAGTCAATGCCTTGAAAGAGATAATTGTGAAAGAATATTTTAGGAATCTCTACTCTATGCTCAAGGAATACCTTGAGTTCTGAGACAAACATGGGTTGGTGCATTGAAGAAGTAAATAGAAACTGAAAAAAATGGTGTTTCTGTGGAAAAGAAAAGAGAGTTGGAGAAAGGAAAAAGGAGAGGCAGGACTTAAGAGTGGAGATGTTGCTGGAGATCTGAGCAGGCCAGGAAATGACAAGTGGTGCGGCAGCTGCTTCAGGATTCAGGGTAATTCTCAGACACTTGATAACCATCATAGGTAAAGAGCAGTGCCTACCACAGCCTAAGAGCCCATCTGTTGAACTTTCTAGGCATAGCTGTTTTCCTTCATCTTTACATCTGAGCATACTACATCAATTGATAATCTTGGTTTAGCATAATATTTTATATATTCTTTATTTTTTCCAAATAGCTTCTCTCTTTCCTGTAGAATATTCATGCATATCCTTCAAGACTTAGCACACTGTGTTTACTCACCAGCTTCACAAGATATCAGTAATCATTCTTTCAGTTTTCATGAGTTTTGTAATAATTTCTGTTGTGCAGTTACCTGATAATTTTATAATAATCACTTCATTGCCTTTATATCCTCTACTAGACTAGCAATTCACTTGTGTTTTTGTAATAACTTATATTTCTCAAAGTATATTATGAAGTCATTCACCTAGATGGTAATCAGAAAAAACTTATTGGTTGATACTGACAACATGCTTGTGACAGCCTGATGAAAGAATAAACACATTAAACTGATCCTCTACTGCCTGTACAAAAGGAAAGGGTTTCCTCAAACTAGAAAGTTTGTAATAAATCAGAGTTGACGCTAGTAGCTCTTAAAAATAACACCAAATGCAGTTTATTAGGTAATTAGTATGCATCAGAAAATATAATACATGCTTTTATTTTCCTTAGAACATTTAAGCACAGAGGTACTTTTTTGGTAAGTTTTATATCCCACATTTGAAAACTACATAGAAGCTGAAATTGAAGAAGATTAAACAGCCTGTCCAAGTCTAGTCTCTAAAAATTAAAATATTTAAATTTGGGACTAAATAAAAAAACTCATGTTATATTTTCCTCAACTCTTCCCTCCCATCTTTTTTCCCTCTCACAGCATGCTTTCTTTATCTTTCTTCTTTTTGTCATACATATTTTGGTTCATGTATCACTGGCTAGAGGCTAGATTCTGAGTATCCTAAGGCCAGTGACTATATCACAGTCAGCACAACATCCCTTTCATTAATTAAAAATTGTGACTAATAATACTAAAATTAATATGTATGTACATGTATACATATGTAAATATATATATAGGAAGATAAGATGACAGATTTATGTTTGCGATGCATTTTAAACTGATGACACAGGAATAACGGAGCTCGTAGACATTCTCGAGTGAATTAAAAGATATTTAAAAAGGCATTCAGGAAACAATTAACATTGGTAAAGTTCACAAAACATCTAAGTATTGCTTGTCTTAAAAACACTGAAAAGCATTGCAACACTGGGTCACTGTTATCCAGCAGCAACAATGTACCGGATTTGAGTAACGTTTCTCCTTCATGTAGAGGACATCCTTGCTCTATATTACTGAAGCCTTCTATATTCCTCATTCCACTATGTTTTTGGTCTGCATGTGAACCTATAAACTCATGAGAAGCAAAAGTTTTAAAAGGACTAGACTTGGCCGGCGCCGCGGCTCAATATGCTAATCCTCCGCCTGTGGCGCCGGCACACCAGGTTCTAGTCCTGGTCAGGGCACCGGATTCTGTCCTGGTTGCCCCTCTTCCAGGCCAGCTCTCTGCTGTGGCCCGGGAGTGCAGTGGAGGATGGCCCAAGTGCTTGGGCCCTGCACCCACAAGGGAGACTAGAAGCACCTGGCTCCTGGCTTCGGATCAGTGCGGTGCGCCGGCTGCAGCACGCTGGCCGCGGCGGCCTTTGGAGGGTGAACCAATGGCAAAAGGAAGACCTTTTTCTCTGTCTCTCTCTCTCTCTCTCACTGTCCACTCTGCCTTTCAAAAAAAAGGACTAGACTTGTTTCTTCAATATTCTGCATCCTATACTTTGGCAGATCTTTGCTCACAAGAAGCATTTTTTAAACATGTACTTGCAGAGTTTCAGAAACTCTACATAGAGTAATTTGTTTTTTGATACAATCCCATCACATATTTTCTGAATTTCTTCTCTCTTATCTTCTCTATCCCAAGCAATATACCCTATTCTATAATTAACTTGTCTTAGGTAGAGCCAACCTTGTCTCCAAGTAAAAATTTGATTACAGCTTCCCGAATCTGCTTGGTCTTGACTCCATAAACAATTGGGTTCATGGCGGGAGGCAGTAGAAGATAAAGGTTGGCCACAATGATGTGGATGTGGTGGGGGATATTGTGCCCTCCAAAACGATGAGTGAAAAATGTGAAAAAAGCAGGGACATATGTGATTACAATGGCACAGATATGAGACGTGCAGGTGCTGAAGGCTTTGTGACGAGCCTCTGCTGATGACAAACTTATCACAGCCCTCAAGATCATAGTGTAAGACACAGAGATACAACAAATGTCAAACACGCCAATCAGGAGAGCAACCATCAGACCATAAACAGCATTGATTCTGACATTGCCACAGGATACCTTGGCTACAGACATGTGGTCACAGTAAGTGTGTGGAATGAAGTTTCCCTGGCAATAGGGCAGGCGCTTGGTGAGGAAAATGAATGGGATGATGAGCATCACACTCCTCAAGAAAGTGGCAAGGCCAGCTTTAGCAATGACAGTGTTTGTCAGTATGGTGGCATAGCGTAGTGGGTAGCAGATTGCCACATAGCGATCCAAAGCCATTAACATAAGCACCCCAGACTCCATCCCAGTCAACATATGGACAAAAAACATCTGGGCCAGGCAGGCATTAACATTAATCTCCTTGAGGTTGAACCAGAATATGCACAGCATATTGGGTACAGTGGTGGTGCACAACGTGACATCAGTAAATGAGAGCAGGGCCAGGAAGTAGTACATAGGCCGGTGCAGGGCCTCCTCATGGCCAATGAGGTAAATGAGCCCACAGTTCCCCACGACAGCAACGATATACATGAGGCAGAAGGGCAGAGAGATCCAGACATGTGTGTCTTCCAACCCAGGAACTCCATTCAAGATGAAGAATCCTGGAATCAGGCTGGAGCTGTTGATCCTAAACATAATGACTGATAGGAGGAAAGCATTTTACAGTCCTTAACAGCAACTGTTTTCTAAATAGGAAAGAGAGAAATAGGGTTAGAGAACAAATAAGAAAGACTGATTTGGAGAAAATAATTCACAAGTGCCTTGAACATTCCCTTCATTTTGATAACTGGGATTTTTCTTTTTTTGTAACTGTAGCAAGAGAAACTTTGAACTACCATATCTAAAAGCTGTTATTGTGAGTACAGTCTAAGTAACCATCACTGTGAAGTAAGTAAGTAAGTAAGCATCCTCAATTTCCATACCTTTACTTAGCATATCCCTTACACCCCCTCACATTACAAAGCACATGCAAGGCTGAGACTGACTTTCGTCATCCAGTGAGTGATTTCTATTCTCTCCACTCAGATTCTTCCCATGCTAGCTGCATTTGAGTCTCATCACTGAAATCACTGACATTTATAAAATTATACTAATCTGACTAGTCTTCATCAGTGGTTTAACTTCCAAATTTTCAAGGTAACTAAAAAGTTAGCACTTTTATTTGCCTTGAGGATTAAGAAAAAAAAGGCTATATTCTCTCTGTAAAGTTTGCCAGTAATGTCCCAGATAGCATGCTAAAGATAAAACATTATAGATACTCAATAAATTATACTGTTAGGGACCAACATGCTTTAGTTATGAAGAATTTGGTGTTTCTGGTACTCAAACTGCATCTAATGTCCAGACCATGATTTTTCACCCTGTGGAGATTCAAGGCAATTTCTTGACAAGAAACAGAAAAATATTTAACTTCTAAATCATTAGAAAATTTAATTTTTACAGCTATTTTATGTAAGATTTGAATTCAGTTAGACACAGTATCATTCCCTTTTGGTTTTATTTTCTTTTCACATTAAAAAAATAGTTCACTATCCATCTTAGTACTAAATCTACACTCAAGAAGCCCATGGAGTTCTAAAAACTACTGATGTACTGCTTTATTTAAATATTATGTTTATTTCAATTTCTGACAAATAATTAGTACAAAGTACAGTATTTACTTTATATCACTACTTCTTGTAGGGGAAACAAAGAATTAAATTGGATTTAATGGGATTTATAGATTTAGAAGTGTTTCAGAAAAACTTTGAAACGATTAAAATATTTCTTTGACATGAAAATAAAATGATCCTTAGGTTCTGGAGTAAACCCCCTGCAGCAAAGCCAATATCCAACACACTTTGCCACCCTGCAGAATTAAATAGAGTTGCTGTGTGATGGCATATATCACACGGCTATGAAGCCACAAGACATAAATTAGCTTAATGCAAGCATTCTGGAAATCACTACTGTATCCATTTTTACAGCCTAGAGTACACAAACATCACCAAGGAGATGCTGAGATACAGAAGTATGACACGTTTCAGAGACTTATGGTCTGGCTCCTAGCTAAATGGATCTCATATAAATGACGCCTTCCTTACAGGGTCTCAGAACACCTCTTCAGAAAATGTCAGCATATGCACAGATCATCATTTCCTGGACCTGGGGCAGAGAAATTTACAGAATAAAATGTCCAGGACTCACTATCTTTTATGTGGATATCACAATGAAATGAGGAAATGGAAAGTGAGACTGTGTTCAATGGAAACCACTCATTAATCCTAAAGAAGTGAAATGGAAAGAAATATACTTTAATACCGCTACTGTCACTTTTTGTTAACTTTCTGCCTGTTCCAAAGGTTTGTGTTCTTAGCCAACACTACCTTTGCATTTTCTTAGAATAGGTATTTTTGAAAATTGCCCACTTACCTCAATGCTAGGTACAACCAAATCCCCACACATGACTGAGATCCTTAGAAGTTACTTGAAATTTGGAATGAATCTTCTTACATAGGATTTAGTTTCCCTGGAGAATCATTAGCAAGATATCCCGGGATGATTGAGTCTCCATAATTAGGTGTCACAGTGGGCTCTGTCTGAAAGAGACTGAACTTTGGGCTTCGTGGTAATAGATATATATTTATTAACTTTGAATAGAAAAAAACACATTAAAGATAATACCTTCTCCTAAATGAGAAATGTGGCTACCAAGCCTAGTGATGATAAATTATTTTTTATAAATATTTTTTCTTTATTACAAAAGAAATAGATCCTTAATAAGAAAATATGCAACTCATAGAAAAGTATAATAAACAGTTGTAAATTGCTTATGTTCTCAACACAAAGGAATAATCATTCCAAGATATTTTCAGTATTTCATGTCATTTTATAGTTATTATCTACAATATTCTGGGTTGCTTAGAACATAGATTTCAGATGAAATGGGGCTATATACATTCTTTCTTTCTCTAATATTATTTTGTGAACATTTTATCATGTACTTTGTATATTTTGAAGAGTCCTATAAGTAAAACAATAGGAAGATAAAGCTTTATTATTTAGTGTTAAAAAATGTCACATCTCATAACTAGTCTCATTAATGGGCAGTGTATTAAAAGTATAAAAGTATTTATTTTCAACAGGAACTACTTAATGAATGCATCAATCATTCCTTTAAACAGAGCTTTTAAACACTTCTCAGAATATTCTTTTAAACATTTTAATACTGTATCAGCCAACGCCGTGGCTCACGTGGCTAATCCTCCGCCTGCAGTGCTGGTACCCCAGGTTCTAGTCCCGGTCAGGGCGCTGGATTCTGTCCTGGTTGCTCCTCTTCCAGTCCAGCTCTCTGCTGTGGCCCAGGAGTGCAGTGGAGGATGGCCTAAGTGCTTGGAACCCTGCACCCTCATGGGAGACCAGGAGGAAGCACCTGGCTCCTGGCTTCGTATCGGCGCAGAGAGCCGGCTGCAGCAGCTATTTCGGGGGTGAACGAACGGAAAAGGAAGACCTTTCTCTCTGTCTCTCTCTCTCTCTCTCACTGTCTAATTCTGCCTGTCAAAAAATAATACTGTAGCTAGTCAATTATTTGAACATTGTTTTAATTATTATAAACACTGATAAGCCCAGGTGCTCAAAATTCTATAGTATTAAGAAAGACCTTTAGGTTTGTATCATATATAGGCATATTCACTAAAGACTTGGTAGATAAAATTAAAATGTTAAGTTAATTAAAACTTTCCCTAGCAGTTAAGATGTCAGCTGAGATGCTCACATGCCATTTTGGAGTGTTTTTTTCTTATTATTATTTGTTGAATTTTTTACTTAGTGGAGGATAAAGCTTATGATTATAAAAAAAGAAGGAATTTTATTGTAAAATTTAAAAGAAAGAATTAGAAAGGAATGAGGAAGGAGGATGGGAGCATGGAAATGTATGATGGGAACTTCCACCATACTCTTAAATCTTCATATATGAAACATCTGAAATTTGTTCAGCTTATATAAATAAAAAATTATAAACAAAAACAACAACAAGAAGGATTGATAACTGGATCCAGCTCTGGGGCCCAGCTTCCTGCTAATGCAGACTCTGGGTGGCACTGATGATAGCTGAGACAAAAGTATTCCTGTCACCCACATGGGCAACCTGGGTTGAGTTCCTGGATCCCAGCCCAGCCAGTCCTAGCCTTTGCCAGTTCTCCCTCTCCCTCTCTGTCTCCTTCTCTTTCTCCCTCTCTTTTCCCTCTTCCTATCTCTCTCTCTCTCTTTCTCTAACAAAAAAAAAAAAAAACTAACAAGTTGAAAAAAAATTTCAACAAGTAAACATTTCCATTGTCTAATAGCTATATCAAATTTAGCTAAGCATTTCATTACTATTGAATATTTGTTTCTGTCAAAAATAACCCTCTGTGAATATCCTACTTCACTGTGCATTACTCCTACCTCTGTACAGACAACTAGAAATACTATTGAAGTTTGTAGAGTCAAATGATATGGTGATTCTAATTTTTTTTGATAAACATTATGCTGAGTGAAATAAGCCAATCCCAAAGGGACAAATACCACTTGTTCTCCTTGATAGGTGACAACTAACTGAGCACCAAAAAGGAAACCTGTTAAAGTGAAATGAACACTATGAGAAACGGTGACTTGATCAGCCCTCACCCTGACTGTTGATGAGCAACTTGATATGTTATCCCCCTTAATATTTTTGTTGTTTGTTCTACATCATACTTTTGGTTGAATACTGTAATCAATACACAATTCTTCTTAAGTGCTGAAACTTAACTGAAAAGTGATCGCTGTTAAATATAGGAGTGGGAATAAGAGAGGGAAGAGATGTGCAATTCGGGACATGCTCAAGCTGACTTACCTCAAATGGTAGAGTTAGAAACATACCAGGGGATTCCAATACAATCCCATCAAGGTGGCATGTACCAATGCCAGCTCACTAGTCCCAGTAATCAATTTCTGTTCACAATTGATCATAATGATAGGACTAAGAACCAAAGGGATCACAGAAACAAGACTAGTGTCTGCAAATACTAGCTGATAGAATCAAAAAGGGAGAGAATGATCCAACATGGGAAGCGAGATACACAGCAGACCCATAGAATGGCAAATGTCCTAAACAGCACTCTGGCCTCAGAATCAGCCCTTAAGGCATGCGGATCCGGCTGAAATGCCCATGAGAGTATTTCAGGCATGGAAAGCCAAAACACTCTGGGGAAAAAAAAAAATAAATGAAAGATCTCTGTGAGTGAGATCCCAGTGGAAAGAATGGGTCATTAAAGAAGGAGGTACCTTTCTCTGAAGGGAGGAGAGAACTTCCACTTTGACCATGGCCTTGTCTAAATATGATCAGAGTCAGTGAACTCAGGGGGCTTCCATAGCCTTGGCAGCTCATGACAAGAGCCTAAGGTGATTACTGATGCCATAAACAAGAGTGTCAATTTGTAAAGTCAACAACAGGCATCACTGTGCACTTACTCCTCATGTAGGATCTTTGTCCTTAGTGTGCTGTACATTGAGATTTAATGCTATAACTAGTACTCAAACAGTATTTTTCACTTTATGTTTCTGTGTGGGAGCAAACTGTTGAAATCTTTACTTAATGTATGCTAAACTGATCTTCTGTATATAAAGAGAATCGAAAATGAATCTTGATGTGAATGGAAGGGGAGAGGGAGTGGGAAAGGGGAGGGTTGCGGGTGGGAGGGATGTTATGGGGGGGAAGCCATTGTAGTCCATAAGCTGTACATGGAAATTTATATTCATTAAATAAAAGGTAAAAAAAATGTTTGAAAAATCATCTCAATAAAATTTGTGTTGATTTTAACTTCCATCAAATGAATGTTCTGTCCCCTATGAGTTCTGACTATGAGATACACTTTTCTTCAGTTGAACTATCAAGAATCTTCTTAATAGTATTCTATGTAGAATTATAATTAACCTCACTTATAGTAATTATTAACACTTTTTCAAGAATTTTTGTTAAATTATTTTTCTTGTACATTGATTTCCATGTTCTTATCCATATTCAATGTTCATTTATTGATTGTGAAGCACTGTCAATGCTAAAAAATATAAACCTATTTTCTATTGTAGCTAGCAAATCTTTTTCCAAGGTTGTATTTAGATTTAAAATTTATGTTATGGCTTTTATATTATGATAGACAGGGATTGTATTTTTGCCCTTATATGCCTTCACTTAAAAAACAAGAAAGCACAAACCACAATTTTTCTATACTTAAACCCCTAAGTGTACGAAGTTGCATCATTCCCAAAGTCTCAGCTCTCATTTAACCCCTCACTTATTGAATATTATGATTAGTGGTACATGAAGATTGTGATTATGGAATAGATTGAAATTATGTTTTTGCAAAAAATTAAAGGAAAAGAAGGGAGGAGGGTGACTGAGGGATAGAGGGAAAGACAGAGTAAGGAAAATACAGTTGTCTTAGAATTGTGCCTATGAAATACATGAAATCTGTTCTCTTTATATTAACACAAATTTTTTTAAAAATCTGCAGAAAAGAAGTAAATGCTACAAAAGCCGAAGGTCCAATGTATGTATTCTCAGAAGTTTCTTTTACTAGCACTATAGCATTTCATCTGTTTCTTCAGTTATTGTTACATTTAGCTTGTAATATAAACAGTATTTCACTAAAACAGTATAGACTCCCAAGATGACCACTTGGAAAGACAACTTTACTTAATTAAAAAAGTTCCATTTTGTAGAATATACACAAACTTACTTCAAAAATTTTAAATGAATACAACCATTACACAACCATATAGGGCTCATGGAAATCCCTACTTTTAGGTCTAAAATTTTAGAGCAATGTGAATTGGCATGAAACACTGTTTGGCTATAAAACAATGGTACCCAAGCTGCTTAACATCAATGGTACCAACATTTCCTATGAAGCTTATTAAGAAGAAGAAAACTGGGGTCCCAATATCTGTGATTTTTATTTATAGTATTTGTATTTGGTTTGGTTTAGGCATTGAGAGAACTGCCTATTCTTTCTTCCCCATTTTTTTTAAAGATTTAAAAGCAAGATTTGTTGTAAGTCAGAC